CATTTCTAATAATAAGAATTATATAAACGAATTTCAAAGTTTATTTATTTCAAGTTTATAAGTGAATTTAGTATTTTAGCTTTCGATGAAGCTAATAGAATCATTTTCGATGTTTTTGAAGAAAAATTTCATAAAAATTAAATATTGGAATAATTTTTTTCCAAAAACTAATCGTTTCTTCATACTGTCAACACAAGCAAAATGTTTTTTTAATTCTTCAAATCGGATGCTTCGTTTTTTTTAAAAACTGCAATTTTTTGCACTCCGTATCTTTGTCAAAAACTAATCATCACGTCTCCCCATCAGTAGGAATCGAATGTTTTTTTTGAATATTTCAAATCGATTAACCCTCCGTCGGTCGGCGTGGTCTGGCCAGACTTTTTTCGACTTCAATTAAAAAAAAAATACTTCTAGTAATCCTATCGACTTGAAATTTCTTGACTTTTCCTAAAATTTCATTAGCTGTCGATCAATGAAAAAATCAGGACGAAAAAATGTACAGAAGGATAGTTATAAGGATATTAACTTTTTTATACTTCGAACGGTCGGAAAGGTCTGTCTAGACCACCCGTACATTGTGTATGAAATATACGCTTTTTGATATATGTAAACAGGATTTTGTCTTTTTCATGGTATTTTTTATTCAAACTGCGTTGTATATATTCTTTGCTATGTGTTGTAACATGAATGTTAGTATTTTCATGACGAGAGTTCCTTGAAAACCTACCAAACTTATTGGTAATCGCAAACACTGAGTAATGCACCACATATTATCAACAATTTTTCTACCTGTACTGCGTTCGAATTTTTTTTTGGCAAACCTGTAGTGAAATTATATTTTCACTTTGAATTTCACATTCATTTCAAAGGCGCCGAAAAAAAAAAATGTTTTTCATTGATATAAAACAGAAAAATTAACAAAAAAGCAACGATTTTTTTATATTTCTTGATTTTTTTTATATAATATAATATGTAATATTTTTATTATAAGCAAGCTCAACACATGCAAAAGACGGTAAGAAAAAGAAAAAATCAAAACCATAAATTTTTACTACTAATAATCGTTAATATATAAGACAATAAAAACTCATTTATCCCATATAAATGCATGTAAAATGAATGGTGGTCTAGCCAGACCTTTCGAAGGTGAAAAAATATCCGACCGACGGAGGGTTAATCTGTACACCCGAAATTGTGGATGATAAACTGTATCCACACAAAATATGCACTTTTTATTTTTTTTTTATTTTATTATTATTAGATAATTTATACATACTGTATATCAGTCAGACAAATATTCTGGTATGAGAGATCACAGCAATCTTAATAGCGATAAAGTAAAATTTTGCATCTTTATAACAATGTTATATTTATATTTATATCAATATATTTGCTTACATGTATATAAATATACATGAACACAAGCATACACATACGCCCATTCTTAAATATGCCATAATATGCCAAAATGTTCAGAAACCTCTAAAACGTAAAGATATGCAAAAATGTACATTTTTGATTTTTAGACAATTACTGTAACTTACAGTGCGGAAAGTTAAAAAATACAGTAAGAATACTGTGCCTTCTTTTTATGACTTTTCAAAAATCGCATAAATTTCTTTCATGAAAGAAATTAGATTCTGAGAACACTCACTACAGAAGAATTCTGTTTAAGCGCAAAGAATTTCAAAAACATCGACATGAATCATCTAGGGGATAGTCATGAATGATATTATTTACACGTAGCATAGTAATCGCTCAATAAACGCGCAAAATCAAGTAACGACATCGAAATTATCAGTTAACTAGCGGTGCATGGCATCGTGCCTTAAGGCAAATTGCTGGTACTTCCCAAAAATTATATTTTTTGAAAATCTTTAAAATATTTTGAAAACAGAAAAATTTAGATTTTTGAGGTTTTTTTAAATTTTTTAAGGAAATTGACTATTTAAAAATATGATTTTCTTAACTTTCTGTAGGGTAAGTTATAGTAATCGCAAAAAATCGAAAATGAAAATTTTTATATATCTTTACGTTTCAAAGGTTTCTGAATATTTGCCATACCTTAGAAAAATGGATGTATGTCTGTGTGTGTATGTGTGTGTGTGTGAGTGTGTGTGCGGATACAAAATTTCGTCGACAATTTCGGGAACACCGATCAACCAATTTGAATAAATAAAAAAACATTCGATTCGTATAGGAGACTTGCTGATTACTTTCTGGCAAAGGCAGGTCTAACCGTTCCGAAGATACGGGGCAAAAAGTGCCAAAAATAGTAAGAGAAGGGAGCGTCCGATTTTAATAATTCAAAAAACATTTTACTTGTATTCACAAGATGAAGAATTGATCATTTTTATAAAGGCAGGTCTAGCGATTTCGGAGATCTAATGAAAAAAAAAATGCCATTTGGCGGTCAAAAATGATCATTAGACATATGTACGTCAAATTATGAGATATTTTATAGAGATTTTAACAATAAGTATAATTTTTTTATACATTTCTATGGGTTCCGTACCAATGCTTATCCGTTAAACGGCGGCGCGGCACTTGCGCACTTTGACATTTCGTCTCTATGCAGTTCAGGCAGTACGATTGCATTGAAAAAAAGTTCAGAATTTCCAAAATATGTCAAAATGAAGAAAACATTTTTTTTTCAAATAAATTTTGTTTTCAAAGAAAAATGTTATTTAAAAAAAAAGTAATTTTTTGTCAAATTCATAGTTTCTCAAAAATCGTTAATCGTTTTTAAAAAAATAATAATTTTTGGTACAGGAAGTTCCAGCAATTTGCCTTAAGGCACGATGCCCTAATTGCCTTAAGACAGAATTCCACTTACAGCTAGTATATATTTTAAAAATGTTTGAAAATTTTAAACTGTATTTTTTACAGAAATTGACTATTTAAAAATAGGATTTTTTTTATATTTTGAAAATGTTTGAAAATTTTAAACAATATTTTTTACAGAAATTGACTATTTAAAAATATGATTTTTTTATATTTTAAAATTGTTTGAAAATTTTAAACTTTATTATAAAGCAGTCGCGCTTAGTGGCTGTTTAAAGACAAAATATCGAAGCGCATAAGCGACGCGTCGTAGTCTAACAGTTAAAAATTGGTACGGTTCCCTTAGAAATGTAAACAAAACGTGCACTTACTTAAAATCGTTATAAAGTATCAAATAATTCGTTGTGCGTATGTCTATTAAACATTATTGACCACCAAATGGCATTTCTTTCTACTTTTTTTTTTATTAAATCTTCGAAACCGCTAGACATGCCATCCCAAAAATCAGTTCTTCATTTCATTAATACAAATAAAATGTTTTCTGAATCATTCAAATCGGACACTCCGTAATCGGATAATCCGTGCTCTCGAAATCGTCGATGGAAATTTGTGTCCGACGCACACACATATAAATCATTTTTTTCTAAGGTTTGTCAAAATGTTCAGAAGGTTTTAAAACGTAAAAATATATGAAAATGTTTATTAACTTCCCATAGGGTAAGTTATTGTAATAGGCCGAAAATCAGAATTGAAAATTTTTACATTTCTCGACGTTTTGAAGGTTTCTGAACATTTTGGCATACCTCAGAAAAAATGGATGTATGTGTGTGTGTGTGTGTGTGTATGTATGTATGGATACAAATTTCCAGTCACGTTTTCGGGCGCACGGATCAACCGATTTGAATGGTTCAAAAAATTCCTATCGATAGGGGAAAGAGCTGATTAGTTTTTGGCAAAAGCAGGTCCAGCCGTTTCGGGGATACGGAGCAAAGAGTGCAGAAAATAGAAATCGACTTTTTGAGAGAACGGAGTATCCGATTTGAATGATCTAAAAAACATTAAATTAGTAATGATTGAGAGAAGTGTTTATTAGTTTTTGGCAAAGGCAGGCCCAGCCATTTCGAAGATACGGAGGTAAATATGTAAAAAATGGCAGTTATTGAGAGAACTAAGCGTCCGATTTGAATGATTCAAAGAACTTTCTGCTTGTCATAACAAAATAATTAATTTTGGAAAAAAAAATTTTGTTTCATTTTTTTTTTTTTTTAATTTTTTGTATGTCGAAAATAATTCAGATTTTATTTTTAATTCTGACTATAGTTCTAATATACTTTAAACAAATAATTTCAACTTTACAATTCAGTTTATATAATTCTTATAAATATTAGACAATGTTACAATATTTATAAGAATCTGTTTGAAAACATTCAGTATTCCTTGAACATTTCGTTACGGTACGGGAAGTTCCAGCAATTTGCCTTAAGGCACGATGCCACCCACCCCACTAGTTTAAGATTTGTTTGCGATTACTATGACTTACTCTACGGGAAGTTAATAAATTCGAGTCCATAAGTGACGACTGACGAGTATCAATGAAGTAATTCGCGCACAATCAGTGGCGCCTTGACATTGAACGTGACTCACGAATTGCATAAAAGCCATCCATGCGCTTAAGCGTTCGTTCCTTAATATATTACTATTGCATAATCTATGAATTAAGCGTTTTGGAGAAAACATTCACATGGTGGTGTATTACGACGACTGAATAATTCAATTATTGTCAAAGTGAAATTCAATGAAGAGCCGAGAATATAAATATGTACGTCTGTCTGTCTGAACAAACTGAACGAATTAATAGGCACCGTTGTACGCATACTTGAGCGTGCACTGCTATTGTAATCGTGCACAGATTCACTCTATACTATATATATATAGTTAGTGTGTTGTGTTCGATCGTATGATCTGACAAGACAAGGCCCTCGAGCCGATTGTCAAATGAGAGGCAAGAACAGTCACAGCACGTGTTTGTCAATATTGCCGTGAACTGAAAACAACACGGCCAATTTCATTCATAATTTGCTATAGATCTTGTAGGTGATAACGACAGGTGTGCGCCGTAACCTACAAATAGACGTACATGGGTACATGTGACATTCGCGAAACAAAACCGAACGCTGACACGGGGAACAATTTCTCAGTCCACGATCCCAACTCACCTGCTGATAAATCATTGACGTTCGTAGTTAGCACTGTACTAGTAAACACTAATAACAACCAAACATACCACATATTACCACTCTTAACACTCTTGTCAATAATTTCGGCCGAGACCATAACTATCACAATTCACGTCAGAATTTCCACAAGGCTACTGTCAAATAATCATCACATTATTTATGTAAAACATTCACTGACACTTAATGATCACACGAGAGGTCCTAACAAATAGCTGCCAGAAAAATATATTTAGTAGGACTCGAAAATATATTGCACATAGCGGACGAGCACAACAGAAACGGTGCGACGCGCCGTTCGCAGACCAACTGAGACACTGAAAACAAATGCGCGCGCATTACCTGTGCGTCGCAGTTAAGGTCAGCATGAGCCGTGGTAACAGACCATACACCCATACACCATACACTACTACTGCATGGGGGGAAGGATGATTATTTCTCGAATTAGAAAAGAATTCGAAAGTCGCACTTATCGTTCTTTCCAAAACACTAAATCACATATAACAATAGCAACTTACATGGCAATAACGTACCCCCGCACTTTTGTTGTATTTCCAAAGACTTTGCCTTATTGAAATAGTATCTAAGTGCATTTTGATTCTGCGCTCGAGAGCCCTTTTTTGTAAAATATAAAACGGAACTTAAAAAACACATTTAAAAAACAACACAATCATACTTACACAAAATAAATCACCAAAATTAATGCTGATATAATAAACAAATAATGAATATACCAAAATATAAAGCTATTTTAATTATAAGACCTAGCTTCTATTACTGGGTGGGGTGTGGTATCAAACAATAAGTAATTATTCACCAGAAAGATTAATTCCATGCAATTTCGTAAAGGATACTTATACTTATACTTCGGAACTTAAAAAAAACACAATTTAAAAACAACACAATCACACTTACACACAATAAATCATCAAAATTAATGCTGATGTGATAAACAAATAATGAATACACCAAAATATAAAGTTATTTTAATTATACAACCTAGCTTCTAATACTGGGTGGGGTGTGGTATCAAACAATAAGTAATTATTCACCAGAAAGATTAATGCCATGCAATTTCGTAAAGGATAATTAGATATTTAAAATGAACCCAAAAATCGATATTTGTTAAAGAGCTAATTTAAATTAAAGCACATAAATTATCCATTATGATCTTAAAAGTTTTTAACAATTTCTAGAATTATAGAAGGAGATAATACGGCTAAAAATCTCTTCCAACTAATTTTACATTATTGTTGACAGATATAAAAATGTACGGCGGTAAATATATATATATATATATATATATATTAGGGTGGTCTTTAACAAGGGCATTTTCGAATTTCTTTGCCCTATATATTTATTAAGGGGTCGATTCTGCCATAAACTATACCAATGTGATATGTAGCAGTTTTCGCACAAAACGCTACTAAAAACTATCAAAATCTTATGTGATTGCTGTACATTCAGGCGTTTTAAATAGAAAATCTAACCTAAACAACACACAAATGTCAAAAAAACGATAACTAGTTCTTGGAGATTTGGCTTGATAACATATGAGTAAAGTTGCATTTTATGTGTAAAACGCCTGATAGCATAGCAAATACATGGTGCAGTATTTAGTAGCATTTTGTGTGAAAACTATAACGTAACATTGCCTTGCCATAACATTTATTTTACGGCAGAATCGGTCCAGTATGGGCCATCTAATAATATGAAATTATAATTATTGTACAATAACTGTACGCAAATGGCTAATGTACTTGTTTACAAAGTCAATAAAATTAAAATAATTCTAAAGCAAAAATTTGTACTACGTACTCGTACTAATTATTATTTAAATGATTGCGAAAACCAAAAAAAATTAAGAAGTTATAGATAGACAAAATAAGTTTAAATCTTTATTTTTGCGTTAAAATAATTTTTTAAAATAATATATTTAAAAAAAACAATGTTTTATTATCTTTTTATTATTTGTTAAAAACAAGTTTCCAATAAGTTTAAATTCCCTAAAAATCGATTTTTTAGCAAAAAATAAATTTTGATCATTGCAATAGACTAAGCATTAGAGACTATAATTGCGACGAAAATTTGGGTTAACTACTGAATTAATTATACCAAAGGTTGATTAAATACCGTACAATAATAGCACAATATTGGAATCAATATCATTCAAACATGTATATATTTCTCCATAACTATATGAATATTTTATGACCTATACGAATTTGTTGCAAAGTTATAAGCTGAATCACTTTATATTCAGACATATTCATTAATTATACATCTAATTAATATATAATAATATACATCAGGTTTGAGAAACAATGGGGTGAAAGCTTTTACAATGTGCACCGCCTCACTTTCCGAACCAATGAGACAGCAGCATGCGCGCCACGTTGTAACCCCGGCCGTCTGTATTGACTTATTTCCAGCGATATTTTGTAAGAATAAGTCGCTGAAGAAATAAATTTAAAACGACGTTCAGCAATTGAAATTCAAATCATTCTCGAAATGAATGAATGTAGAATTGCGAAAATGCACGCATGTCGAAATCTGTAAAAAAAATAATTAATTACTATTTTTTTATCACTTACTACTACATCCAAACATTAAAACAATTATAGCGTTCAATATTATTATTATAATATTTGCAATTACTATGTGATAAATGTATATGTTTTTATCGGAAATATTAAAGCTGATAAAAATACTAAAAAAATAATCATGGTGCCATCTTGCCTACCTTTCACACACTGATATAGTAATCGGTCAGAACCATCGATTAACAGAGAATTGGTGTGAAGCCTCGTAAACGAATGGAAAAATATCCATTTGTCTTCAAACTATCGTCTATCTTCACCCCGTTAAGACGATTACTTGGATACATTTTGTGCTATCCCGCATAATACGATTTTTGCACTTTAGGTCCGTTCATGATCTTGTCTTGAAATTCGCCTTCGTGTGGTTATTATACTGTACATATCTATAATAATAAATAGTTGTCTATCCGAAGGCAGGTCTATGGTGTGAAAGCACCACAAATTAATGATTCCCTTTTCCTTCCTTGTTTATTATTTCCATTACCATTATACTACCATTAATAAATTTTAAATGCATTTAAGCATTTTCCTTTACAAACTTTTGCTGACATGTTTCCCGATCTTGCGCTTTGGCTTTTAGTTCCCTGTATTTTCTCTTCTCGCGTAAGTCAACAACCATCTGCATTCTTCTTCTTCCTAATCCTTTTAGTTCTTCTATTTTACCTTCGACGACGTCGTGCAAGAGGCATTCTTTTAGCAGATTGGGTCCGATTCAGTTTCCTTTTCTTCTCAGGATTGTGCTCAGTGGTGTCCTTTCTTTGCCAACTATTCTCAGGACTTCTTTATTTGTTATTTTGTCTGTTCACTTTATCTTCTCCATTCGCCTCCAGCACCACATTTCAAAACTCTCGAGGTAGTTCTTGTCGGCCTTTGTTAGAGTCCATGTCTCCGATCCGTGCAGAACTGTGCTCCATACGTAGCACTTTATTAGTCTCTTCCGCAAGTCGAGACTCAGTTTGCTCTTCAGTAGCGTTCTCTGCCTCGTGAAAGTATCCGTCTATGATTAGGATGCTTTTTAAATATATATAGCTAAAAAAGAAAAAGATTATTGGAGATGATTAATTACGATGTTTTAGAACTAGACACTTTCCATCATTATTTTTTCGCGATTTTGATCTATGAAATCGTATCACATTTTAAAAATTTAATTCAATTAACATATAAATATTTTACTTCACTTCACTATATAAACGAAGATAATGAGGTGTGTTTGCCGATTCAACTTACAAAATACATAATTAACTGTAAGAATATTGAACCATCGCAAAACATCATCTGGATTTAAATGTAATAAGTAATGTAATATACGAGTAATATACGAGTAATATACGAGTAAGTAATGGAATATACTCGTATGTACTATAATATAATCCAATCCTATTCAATTCAAGTAAATTTTCTCTAAGAGTTCACATCAGAAATGCAGAATCTGTAAGATTGAATTTACAAAAAACGTATACAATGAATAGTTTATTTACCTGATCTGTCCTGAATCTAAAATCCTCCAACTAATCTATGCTATCTATAATATCTATCCTTCTCAAATATGCTTTTTAAATTGCTGCAATAATTTTTTTCTACTAAATATGCTACAGCTACAATGCTACAAATATGCGTTTAATATGCATTCAATATGCAATATGCATATAAAACTTTTAAAGATATAAAACTTTCTGACAATGAGTGTCGCATAAAATTTTATGATAAGTAATTATTGCAATTATATAAAATACTATTCAAAATAAAAATAAATAAAGTTTACATATGCTTGCGATTAATATATTAAATAGATTTACATACATTTTTATGAAACACACTATAAAATAATCATATACATATGCATAGACTCTTTAAACTTTTTATTTTTCAAATAGAATACAATTTCATGTCGAGCATTGGAAACTCACTTAAAATAGTTGAAATTAATTATCAATAATTTTAAATAATAGTTGGCAACGAATACAATATGCTTTCCAATTTCATGAAAGAAGTTTAACCAATATTCGACATGTTGCGAAAGCTCAAAATAATCTTAATTCTAAAATTTGTTAAAAGTTTTTGCCAAATACGTTAACAAAATATATATATGACAAAATACTATGGTAATTTCTTTGTTTCTAACAATTGCCAAAATATTTTTTATTATAAAAAATAATTACAATTGTTGCATCTTGTGCATATGTAATATAAATCATTATCATTGAATAAAATTGGTTTACCGTATTCATTATTTTGATTTTTATCTATTCTTTGATTAAATAATTTAAAAATTAATATAATCATCTCGTCACACATATTTTCTAAAAAATATGTTCTACAGGCGTATTTTGAAAGGTTTTGATTAAAAAAATATGCCAATGTGGAAAAAGAAAAACCCAGTGTGATAGGACAACATAAAATAGAAAAATAAATTCTATAATACTACCAAACATTAAAACTTTCTTTAGTTAATCCATCTTTTTATAGGTCATGATACATTTCATGACTATCATAACTAAGGACATGCCAATTAGTGTAAAACTAATAAAAATATTATAATGTTAGATTTCAAGAGCTGTAGAAAATTTTACCTTGTGTTCAATTATATGAAATTTGTTATATATAATCCATTTTTTAATTATATATTGTATATTAATTTGTTATATATAATAAAGAAGTCAGTTTCGTAAACAATTGTTTTTTATATTTCTGTAGTAATTGTGTTTGGCTT